TGGCTAGTTTCTTTCTTCTGAGATACTCAAATATTCCTTCAGTGTTGGCCTGGATGTTGCAAGTGTTAACGTTCCACAAAATTATTTGCTGTTTGCATTTTCTTTGTACAAGCTTGTGCTCCCTTTTGTTTTTCTGATTTGGGCAAGATTTCCATTTCCTGAAGGAAGATTTCTTCTCCCCAATATTATCCCTAAAAATAGAGTTAAGGTTAGGTAACCTCTTGGACTTCATGCTTCCTTTCCAAACTTGTGGAATGCATGTTATGTGCCTCTACTGTTACTGTTTTGAGTAATCTTCAAGCATTTGAAAGGGATTTAACCCCCTTGAGTCCTTTCTTCAACTCATTTTTCTACCAGTTCCCTCATTTTAGGGAAGTTTCCTCTTTTGAAGTCAAGTGTGACTGTATTGGACGTTTTTAGCAATCTTTACCTAATAGATTTAATATAAATCTGAAAGTTGCCATGGTCTCTGTTTCAATAGGTTCAGCAGCATTTGCATCCCATACTATATCTTAGGCAACACCACCTAAGATTAAATCCAGAATCGTCTCCCACCATGACCAACCGTTCTAGGGCATTTAGGACACTGAGAAATGCCACCTCCAGTATGCCTGTGTAGATCAGTAGGTCACGGGTGGCAGGGTGTTATTGCACCCATGCTCTGTTTCCCACAGGTAGCTGGTTGCCCACCATGTGAACAGGATGCTGAATAGAATGGATCCTTGGTCTGAGCCAGCTGAGCTCTTCCAGCATTTGCATTGATTTGAAATGTTCAGATCATCTGTTCATTGGAACAGTATTTATCTATAAATGACAGCATCCATCTATCCCAGGTGCAGCTGCCCACCCATTGATAGAAAAGCCCAGTATTTTTCTGTCCTCTTCTCCATCACACAGTTGTTTTAAACAATGATTTTATGGTAGCAACTAGAAAGTAGAGGCTCTTGGAAAATGCATCCATCTCACAGCACATATCCATGCTGCATTTGATTGGTATCCTTAACAGCTGAGCATGCTTCACTGTGGTGCTGGATCTTATGCATGTAAGCTGAAGAAACACAGTCCTCTTGAGGTCTTCCTATCTTTTAATAGCCTAGGTCTATGACAGACATACTGTTTTGTCTCACATATCCTTTCTTGCCACTGAATCCAAAATAGAACGTACGATCATTTGCTGCAGAGTCAGTGAAATGTTTTCCATACATTCTGGATTTGCCAGCTCTTCTTCAGAGTGCAAGGATTGCTTGAGGATTTTGTAGAGTAGAAAAAAGTCCAGAAACTAAAATGAACAAGGGGCTGAAGAAACTCTCCAGGAAGGGAAGGTTACAACTTTGAAAAAAAGTTTGGCTTAGAAGAAAGGTGGGCCGTGGAGGACATGTAGAAGTGAACAACATTATGCATGGAGTGGAGAAAGTAGACAGGGACATTTTCTTATAATACTAGTGCCCAGCATCATGGCATGAAGCTGACTGGTGGCAGATTCAGGACAGATAAAAGCATGTCATTTACATGGCACACAGCTAAATATAGATTAACTGCCATAAATCAGGGATGGCAACCAGTCTGGATTGCTTGAGAAGGGGGTTGGACAAGTTCAAGGGAGACGAGTTGGCCAGTGCCTCCCGAGTCAGCTCAGTGAGCCTATGCACAGCAGGTGCTGGAAAGCATGGACAGGACTACAGCTGCGCACCTGGCCTGCTTGCAGATTCCTGTGCTCAGTTGCTCGGCCACCTGGTGAGTAGAGGCCTGGACAGAGGGACCTTTGGCCTGATCCAGCAGGGCTGTTCTTCTGTGGTTATTCTATATAGGACAGCATCTCTGTAACCTTAGGAGAAGCAAACAATGCAGATGTCTCACTGACCCCATTTCTAGTATTTTTATTTTCTTGTATTACTCTAAACTGCACACATGTTCTGCACATTCTGAACTAATAATTCCTGACAGCTTTTTTTACCAGTTGACTATTAATTTGAAAATATTTCCTATAGAAGAATACTCTGTCGGAAGTTGACAGTCCGAGAATCCTGCTTATATAAACTTCCTGAAAGGTTGGATTTACTATGATAAAGTTTTTTCTTTTGTATTTAAACACATTCAGATGTGCTCTGTCAGTAACAGTTCAACAAAGCAAACAAGGGGAGGGAAAACCTAAGAATCTATTTTAAAATTCTCTTTAACACATGACTTGTTCCTTACATACGATTAGCTTTACCCAATAGCACATCAAGAAACAGCTGCTGGAATTCTCTGGCTGGGGAGTTCTCTGAGATGGGGAACATCTTCAGGACATACCAAACTGTTTACTCACTGGCTTGAGCGACTGTGCTCTTATTACACTGAACCTGGATTCTTCGCATCAGTAACTCATGAAATGAGTATTAAGTGCGAATTTGTGCTGTTACCCTTTATAGAAATGCTACCTTTAAAGAAGCAAAAAGAGTCAACCTTCTACTGAGTTCAGCTGAGCCAAAATTCTTGTCTGCTTCTATGTTGACATCGCAATCAGCTCATCCTTTGCTGGCAAACTTTCAGGTCATTCCAACAGCACTGCTTCTTGACCTGTTGCTGCAATGGTGTGACACAGCAAAGGACACAGCTTGTGTTACTTTATCTCCTCAATGTTCTGCCTTTTCAAGGACATCCTGAATTTGATTCTTATTATCAAAGCTGTCCTGCATGGCCCTTGCTACTCATTCTGCAGCTGTACTAGGTTTGCCTTTGCCAGATTAACTCTTAGTTCATGCTAACTTTCCAGAAACTGAAAGTCTGGCTGAATTCTATTCCACCTGTGACAGAAAGACACCAGATGGCGCACTTGGTTGCCTCCTCTGGGGCAAAGGGCATGGTGGTGCTCCTGTGCCCAGCCTCAAGTTCTCTTCTAGGCCCGCATTCTTCTCGGGTGGCTCTTGCCTGGCCTTGCATGGGTGCCTCATGTGAGGTCAGCCATGCAGGCCTTTCAGGGATGGGATGCTCCAGGCTGCAGCGACAGACACGGCCTTGTTTTGCCACAGGCAGCTTTAGGCTGGAACAGACAACTTGTGGCCCTTCAGCTGTGTTCAGACTGCAGCTCCACCAGTTTGAGCCACATGAGCAAGTGGCATGGGGTGAGGGGAGCTGCAGTCCCACAATATCTGGAGAGTCGCGAGTTGCCCACTCCTGGGATAAGGTATTGACCACAACTGAGTAGGGCTTGCCTTACTGTTGATCTGCAGGATCAGGTGAAGGTATGTCCTTAGGTTCAAGTACGTGAAGATCTGTGCCCCAGCAGAAGTGGCTGTTGCTTTCAGCAAGGAGGAAGGATAGTCCTGAACTTGGTTCCTCACACTCCAGACAGATTAGCGCTGTCACAGACAATATGCAGCGGATCTTCTACTTGGCACTGCCCACGTCCACTGTCTGAAGCACTGAATGCGCATGTTTTCATCTAGCCAAGACATTGTGGAAACAGCCCAGAAATGAGATCAGTATACATAAGTCTGCTTCAGTTTCATCCTTCCTTGATCAGGATGAGGGTAGAGTATGAAACCTTCCGTCAAACCATGGATTCAAACACTTGCATGTTTCCGTCCCAAAAGAAGATGGTTGAAAATGTAGGATATTTTAACCTATATTTGGTTTTCCTATCTTTTTCCTGGGCATTCTTTTTAATCCTCCTTAGTATCCTCAGTACTTCCTTTGTTGGATCGTTCCTCCCACAGCTTGATAGTGCTGTTCTAAGAACACAAGAGCCTTGCTTGATCAAACCAAAGCCCCATCTAGTCCAGCAGTCTGTTTATGCAGATGCCCCGATGGGCAACTCGCAGACAGGGCATGAGTACAGCAGCTCCTCCTGCCCATGTTCCCTGTGACTGATCTATGTAGCCAATTCTACAATGCTAGAATTGTAGGATGTTTTCTCTCTCTAGACATGCATAGGATTGCATTCTTAAAGACTAAATTTAAAAGTAGCATCTTCATACCCATTTCATTTGTTCAGCCATCCATATGCACAGTGAGAGTTAGTTTAGAATTAAATTAATTGTCCATTCTTAATTGTCCTTAGAATGGTGGCTACATAACTTAGTTTATATATGAATTTGTTTGTTCATTTAGTCATACAGACACATGCAAAACAAGTTATTACTATTCATAATAACAATTTTATTTCAATACCTTCCAACAGATGAGTCTTTAGGCACAATATAACAACTCAGAATAAGAAACGTGAATGGAATATAAACAGCAAAATAAACATGAGATTAAAAGAGCAATGAGGCAAATAAAAGATTGGCTGATTTTTAAATAGTCTTTAAAGAGTGATTTACAAGGTGCAATCAACCCAGCTTATACAAGCCAGTCAGGAAGGAACACCTGGCTGGGCCAGGAAGGTGCTTAATGCCACCTTGCAAGACAGAGTGGTCCCAGAGTGGTTTCAGAGGTGGTCCTGAAAGAAGTAACAGTGGGATCACTTCTGAAAAAAAGCCTCCCTTGACCTGGAAGAACTTGGTAACTTCAGGCCTGTAGAAAATACTTCTTTCTTGAACAAGGCTGAGAGGGTATTTGCCAACCAACTCCAGACTGATTATCTGGATCCATTTCAGTCAGGATTCAGGCACAGAAATAGCTTTGGTTACCCTATATCAGTGATGGTGAACCTTTTGGAGATCGAGTGCCCAAACTGCAACCCAAAACCCACTTATTTATCTCAAAGTGCCAACACTGCAATAAAACCTGAATACTGAGGTTTTAGTTTAGAAAAAAATGACTCATACATTAACATACTTGTCTTAAAAGAAAAACACGATAACAGAGCTTTCAATAATACAAACAGCTTTTTAGTGAAAGGTAAACGTTTGCACTGGGCATGCTTTTGCACAATTAATGTGATCTTTGCCTTTGTGTGCATGCTGATAATTTGTCAAACCTTGGCTCATACTTTGTTTCAATTTTTCATAAGAAAACTCAAAGCTAAAATCTTGTGTTAATAAAAATGAATGTATTAAAACTCACAGCCAGTCCAAATATATATATATCTCTTTGGCAGCATACTGACTGGCCATGCGAAAGCTCGGACGAGTCGCAGCTAATGAGTCGCAGCTTGTGACGTCATCACCTGGTGCCACCACTCCTTTCTGAACAGGCGCATGGCCCCCGTGTGCGCTGTTATCCGATGCTCGGCTGCTGGGGCGATGCTGGGACAACTTGGCTCGCGTGCCGACAGAGAGGGCTCTGCATGCCCACTGCAGCACGCATGCCATAGGTTCGCCACCACTGCCCTATACGATGACCCATGGTGGCAGAGAGACAGAGAGGTATGCCTGCTGATGCTCCTGAGGCTCTCGGCAGCTTTTGATGCCATCCAACATGGCATGCTCTTGGGACAACTCTGAGCTGGGAGTGGGGGTCCTGCAGCCCAGTAGTCCCACTCCTACTTGGAGGCCTGTCTCCAGAAGGTGGTGCTTGGGAAATATTGATCAGCTGCATGGAATCTCCAGGGGTCTTTTCTGTCCCTCATGCTTTTTAACATCTACATGATACTGCTGAGTGGGGCTACCCAGAGTCTGGGGGGGGCACTGCCACCAGTATGTGGATGAGATGCAGCTCTATTTCTCCTTTTCATCATTGGCAGGTGAGGCTGTGGATGTGCTAAACCGGCATCTGGCTAAGATAATGGACTGTATGAGGGCCAACAAAATGAAGCTCAGTTCAGACAAGGCTGAGATCTGGGGCCACCAGGAAGAAGGCCATCTCCCTTCTACTCCTTATTCATAACTGGTCTTGGCAGTAGGAAAATAGGGTGGTGTCTGCTGAGGACCTCAGAGAGAAGGCCATTCTTTCAAAAACTGGGCCTAAGACATTTAAGGCTTTAGAGCTGAACTTTACATTGGGCTCAGAAGTCTATGTTTCTGTGAAACAAGCAAGGGATATATGAAAGCACCAGGCAGTGAAGTCTTCCCACCATTGTTTTGTACATTCACTGTCTTTATAAAGTGTTGTTGATCCCAGTTCTAAAATAGAAGTTTCTTCCAATCTTCGCTTGACATCTGACTTCACATTCTTTTTTTTCATACAATTCTGCTTTAGTAACCACATGTAAAATAAAACCAGATCCATCTAATTGAATATATTCCTTCAAAACAGAAAATGGACTCCAAATACTTTCCCATGTACACAACACTGGCAACACATTCCTTCTTCATTGCATTGCATCACTGGTGAGCACAAAACCTGAAGGAAGACAAACACCGGATAGGAAACCAGTACAGCAAAAGAATGCCTGTCATGGGGAAAGACATCTCCCAGTCCCTCTGTCCCTGAGGAGCATTGCCTGCTATCATTAAGTATGACTCCTGTCCAGGATTGCAATGCTCAGCTTTCAGTGATTTTTCTATTTACCACTAATGGCAGAATGTGAAATGAACAAGGCACCTGCCCTGCCCCACCCTTCCCTCTGCAAACTGGTGTTGGGAACAGAAGCAATGGAAGCTAGAGTCAAGACAGAAGGTGGGGTCACACAGCAGTGCAAGCCATGCGACTTTTCCTGTTGTCTGACCCCAGCAACATGGTTTGTTAACCACTCTGGCTGGGTTCAGACAATGCAACAAATAACCCCTGGTTTATAGGTCACTATGAGCAGTGTTGCATGAATTCAGTCAGCATGATAACCCCACTCAAGGACTGGGTAGAGTCTGGGTTCTTTTCATGAGTGGTTTGTGCATTGTCCAGACTCAATCAGGTCTCTGCCTCACTGGGGAAGCCCAGGTGGATGGGTTGTTGAGTCTCATTTTCCTAAACACGATCAGGAATCTTTCGAGAATCCCACATAAAAAATAGGAAACTACTGCACATTCAGCATTAAAAACAGTCACTCATCTGGAAAACTACTGTACTCTGAGATAAATTATTCTTACCTTTGACTTTCAATAGAAAACATTTTTCTTGTAATGTCTGTGTTGCAGGATGAGAAACCTCACATCGGATGGTCTTAAAGTCTTCTGCTTTTAATTCTTTTTCAATTTTTAATTCTATGCTGCTTGTAAAACAACATAGCTGGTTTTCCCCAATCTGAATATCCTTGGGATTGTTGTCATCACTTATTCTTTTCCAGCCTTTGAACCATTCCACTTTTATATCAGGTGGTGCAAAGTCAGATAAGGATATTTCAAATCGAATGCTCGTGCTACCCTCTTCTTGGCTTGGTCTTATGTCAGACACAACAGGAGATTTTGCTAAATGGAAAGGAAAACGTTTAGGGTAAAGTGTCTATGCAATAGATTGCACCTTTCATCACTGTGATTGAAACAATCTAAGTATGGTTAATACAACAGAACAAGTTGGATGTAATACTGTGAAGTTCTGGTATGAGCCTACCCATATACTGCAATCAACATCTGAGGCCCTCCTCTGAGGGAGGTTCAGCAGATGGGAACCAGGCAGGGTGGCTTTTCAGTGATGTAGAACACATCCAGCTAGCATTAACATTTTCATCTTTTGGGGGTCAGATCTACTCTCCCAGGCTACTGAGGGCATGTGATTGCTTTTTATGCATCAGTTTTTGATTGTGGCCTGTGCTGATGTTCTAGCTGCTGGACAGACTCTAAAAGGCCACATGAGTCCCAGCATGATCTTAGAAACTTGCTGCAAGGACTCCAGACTCGGAACACCTTGTAACACCGTGAACCCCAAAAAGTCAGGCCTGGATCTCTTTAAAATGCTTGCTTCACTTGACATTTCAGTCTAGTGGCTTCCAAGATATAACAGAGCTTTAGTCAGGGCTCCCACGACTCCAACAGCCTGCTTTCATGAAATTAAGGAGCTTCTCTTTCTGATGTTAACATGGCACAAAGCGCACACGCACTGCACATCTGCAGCCTTGAATGTTCCTTATCAGCCATTGCTTCTGCCGGCAAAAGGCAGTAATAAGCCTACGCTTTAATGTAAGACAGAGATGAAACCTTGGCTATCTAGGCAGGGATACTCCTTACTAGCTCACTGAACTTCATTATTTCTTAGCACCTGTGTAAATAGTATCAAAACAATTCCAGTGTGCAGTGTAAGAGGCTTGCTGCTAAATGTTTTGGAAGTCTAGCTAGCTTATTGCAATAATAAATAATCTCCTTCTTAGTAAACCTGCAGTTGGCTTATCACTCTGTAGAAACCCCCAAATCCCACTGCCCATGGCCAGGGTAACACACACCTTTCCCCTGCCCTCACAGCCAGTGTGGAGCTAACTGTACCAGCTGGAGCTCCAATGCTGCAAGAGCAAATCTGGAGACACGCATCTGGGGGTGAGAACCGGACAGGAGAGAGTATGAGGTATCCCGGTGGCCCTTCACACTCCCTCTTACCATTTTGTTTTTCCCATTGTCCCATTCTTCACCAGAACTACCTGATGAGATTCAGATTTACAGTTTTCTATACAGGCAACAGTTTGCAACAGAACTCCAACTGCTAGCAATTTGCATGAAGTGGTGCAGTTAGTTTTGGGGTGATATCCACCATACTAATGTCTCTTTCCTTGGTTTCCATTAGTAAACTTGAAACCCCATTGTATTATACAGCTTACTTGTACATAAAAATCAATTGTATAGCTTACCTCTTGACATATGACTGCAAAATTAAAGATGGCTTGTTAATAGCTAGGAAGGGGAGAAATTTCACATTTCATGATGCTGGATTTCAGTGACAGGGCTTGCCTAACATGACAACACATTGTGGGTTGTTACCCATGATGGGTTGGTGAATTATGTGAACCCAAGCAGATCCCTGCAGGGTGGCTTGTTTGAGGACAAGCCAACCTGACACCCTGTAGCTTGCTCTACGAGATGTTTATTTATTTATTATTTAGAGAATTTCTAGGCCGCCCCGTTCGCCGAAGCCTCGGGGTGGCTTACAGTGGGCTGCTGTGTCCTCCAAACCCAGGCAAATGACCCCAACAGAGGTTCCAAGTATTGGCTACCTAGCCACTCAGAGTTTCTTCTGCTCTTGCACAGTGTGCCTGGGCACCCAACAGTGCCGGGCACCCAAGCGTCCAAACAGCTCTTGGAGGTGGCTGGCAGGGGCTTGCTGCAACCACTGTGAGCCATTTTCTGCTCATCAAAACTTCTTTTACCCCTTCCCTTTTTGCAGATCATACTCCCCTTTCAACAGCAACTGACAGTCCCTTCCAAGTGCCCAAACTTTGCCTCACAGGGGCTGGAAGACCTTTAAAAAGCAAAATGCAATACATTGTACAACTATAATTGTTTTAAGATTTTCTTTAGCAGCACTTGCACTTCTGTTACGTTTTACAGTTGTGCAAGTGTGGGAATGTAAAGCCTTTGCTAGAGCAATGACCTGAGGGTACCTGCTACCAACAGCTACCAACCCTGGGCAAAGCACCAGAGAAATGCCAGTTTTTTTCCCTTTTGCTTTTTCTTAACAAACAGCTCATGGAAATGTAATTTACATCTAATTTACATCTATCTTCTTATGAGATACTAATTTTCTCCCCACCCCCATCACTCATAGTGATGCACATTTTTCACTTTTCCCCTCACACTCAAGGTTCTCTGAGAAGTGCAAGAGTGCAAGCAAAATACCTTTGCCCCCTTTTTCTGGGGAGAATTCTGGGCCGCTTTTAAAAGTGACAGGGGAAGTTGATAAAATAATGAGTAGTTTCTGACAGGGACATACGGCTATATATGTCATGGTCCAAAACCTTGAATTACCTTCAGGTACTCTCTAGAATAGTGTCCCAGTTAAGGCTTTAAATCTGTACAATGAGTACAAAAAATAAAACAATAATGTTCTGCCAACCACTGGTATCCCCTCCATGAAGCTGCTTGACACTCTGAATGGGCTATCAGTGACCATCAAAACAGGGATCGTCACACCCCAAAACAAAAAGAGAAAAGAGCTGTAGGAAGTTGAAATGTCTCACAATTGCTACAAGGAGTCTGAAGGCAAGTCAGTCCTGTTGCCATGCTCTCCAGCATACCTGCAGGACGACCAAGGAAGGAGGAGGAGGAGGAAAGCAGTAAATGACCCTGGGTGAGCCAGATCATCTGTTGGGTGAACTGTGGGATGCTCAGAGAACCAATCCATCATTGCCTCATTGCCAGATGTTTTGGCATGATCTGCAAATACGGCTAAAGTGTGACTGTTTAAAAATGAACTTCAGACCAGCAAAGATGTGCAACTTCAGTGAATATATACCTTGAAATTTTTAGTTTAGATTCTAGCAATGTGTGGTGTGAACTACTATCACTACCGAAGTGTGGGTTTTTTGCTTTTTAATTTCTAATCAATTTCACCTGATTTTGTATCGATGTAGTTTTTGAATGGAAGTCAGGAAGAAGTCTTTAATCTTCTAGAAGAATTGAGGAACTTTCCTTTCAAGAATATCAGACAGTGAAAATAAACTTGTCTCTAAAAGAGCAAAACATAATCGCTACCAGAGACATAGTTATGCCTAACAGATTTTTAAAAAATACATTAAAGGAATAGAAAAAAGAATGTTCAATTAACATTACTTTGTTCCTCAATTACTACACTTTGCCAAAAGAAGAGAGAACCCAAAGATTTTCAATGCATACCTGGAAGCTTTAGATAGACAATTTTTTCAATGGAATTTCTGAGGGTCTCATGGAATACCCGGAAAAATTTGGGCTTATCATAATCCAATGCTGTAGGGGTCAACTTGAAAACAGAAGATAATCTGAAACAACCATTGGAATCTTTTGATGGCCCCTCTGTGAGCACATGATCTGTTACACATTCCTCTCCATTATACCATTTAACTGAAATGTCTTCAGGATAGAAATCTGTGACTGTACACATTAAGGACATCATACTTCCATATTCTGCATCACTTGGTTCAAGAAAAATACCAGCTATTTTGGGAAAACCTAAAAAAGCACAGAAACAGAAAACAAACAATGGATTTTAAACCATAGTTAAATTCAAAGAGCAGCAGCATATTCAATATAAAACCACTAAAGCAGATGAGAAAAAGTTCAGATAGGTAGCCACAATAATTTTGTTATAGGAAAAACAAGTCTTGCACTTAAAAAGGTAGATTTTATTTTATGCTTATCCTCAAATTGTTTATTCATGTATTTACTGGTTATACGCCATTCATTCATTCATTTGAATCTGGAACCCACCTTTCCACCAAGAATATTGTATTCAAGGCCATTATATCAAGAAAGCCACACTGAGGCTCACAAACGACAAAATTCGAGAGGCCGTGGTTACTGCTTTTATGAATGGCTCTGTTCACTCTGTAAGTGCTTTAGCTTTGCATAAAAATTTCACAAAACATAGTACTTTGTGGCCTTTGAGCCACAGAGTTTACATTTGGTTTTTCCCTGCTATAGATATGTCCTTCATGGATCTGATCAAGTGGGTTCTAGCCCACAAATGTTTATGCCACAATAAAGCTTTAAATTGCCACAAGGCTCATTTTTGGTTCTGTATTTTACACTGTGGGATTTTAATTTATTTCTTAAACACAAAAAGGAAGCACAGACACCATAATACAAGATCACTAAAACAAACACACTGATTATAATTCTTGGTGTATCATATCCATGTAGGGGCAGCAAGGGTAAAATGTCTAAGGAGGAGCACTAATAAAAGATTGGGGAGCTAGATTCAGATCTAGGGGCATGTAAGTGGGCTGGTGAAAGCAGATTTGCCTGCCCCCTCCTTTCCAGTGCAGTCATTCCAGCCCCTGGAAATGCTACACAAAGAACCAGCAAACCCTACTAAATGCTTTGTAGTTCTGAGAAGAAAAGACTGGTCTTTGAAAATTGGGTAGAGACACCTTCCATGAACTGAGCTCTTCAATATGTGGAAGACAGATCCTGTATCCAACTTCTGGTGAACGGCATATACAACATGTGTATTAATCAGAAAAATTATACCTGTCCATATTGGACTGGAATTTGATCCAAAGTCATCCACACAGAAAATGAATGGAAATCCTATTTTTAAGGAGCCCTTGCATGCTGCATAATTATGGACATAACTATAGTCTTCCAAATTTCATTAAACCATCCTGAGATGCCAGTAATGGGACAGAATATAAAAGCTTTAAACACTGTTTCATGAGTTGCTTTGGAGACCTCCAATTATTGTCCGTTCATGACTGTGCTGTACAGAACTGCAGAAGAAGCTTTTTATGCTAGAATCCAGGGTTGTTTCATTCCAAAGGATGAAGAAGCATGGATTAATTGAAATTATATTAAAGGAAAGGCCACACATCAGGAATCTGATACAGAAACTGTGCAATCCAGGGCTTGTTTATTCAGAAGCAAGCCCCAGTGAATGTAACAGGAGTTACACTCTAGCAAACATGCACAGGATGGCAGCACTGCAAAATTACAAGCTACTTAATGGGTTCATTTAAAAAACAAGAAATCAAAAGCTTGTTTTTGCCCAAGGCAAGTGCCTATGGGACAGACATGTGCTCCAGTTCTGGAAGTGGATTCCTGCCTACTCTAGAGATCGGCTGGGAAGGTGCTTGGTAGTGGCACCCCCTTTGAAGATTGCTCTGTCTATGGAGACTCCTTGGCACCTTGTCTCCTGTCATTGTCACAGATTTGAAAAAGGTCCTGTTTTCAAAACCCTTGTGTAATCAGCATGGGAGATCATCTATGTTCACTGCTGCTGCATCAGTTTTCAATTTCATTCCCCTTTTAGTTTCACATTTTACAACTATGTGGGGTTCTTTTAAATATCAGAACTGTGCAGTTTTAGTATTTTTTGGTATGCTGCTTCAGGTGTTGTGACTAGCATATCAATACCTGCCATAAAGCATGTACAGGAGCTTCCTGGCCTTCAAACGTATAGAATAATTCTATTCAAGTCTATAGAAGAGGGTCTCCAAAAATGGGATACAGAGACAGTTGGAGGAAATTGTATCAGCCTGATCTCCCCATCTCACTACAAATCTAGACAAAACTGGGGGAATTATTAACAGCACAGTCTACAGAACTGGTTTCTAGACAAAACGGGGGGAATTATTAACAGCACAGTCTACAGAACTGGTTTAAATGTCATGGTTTCTTCCATAGAACCTTGGAAATTTGAGCACTTTTGTACAGTCTCAGTCTCCTCACAAAATATTGAATTAAAGGTATCCCTTGGAAGATACGGACAGTTTATCAACTTCAAAACAAGCCTTCATTTGCAGTGTACACTAGTGTGGAAGGAGTTTAGAAGGGGCTGTTCTCAGCAGTATAGGTCTTCAATATGCAGTAAAATATGGGTAGGCAGCAAGTAGGTCTCCTAGCATTCTTGACCACTAGTTATGTTGGGAAGGGCTTCTGGGAGCGGTAGTCCAAAAGATCTGAAGATCTACCTTCTGCCTACTCTTGCATTAATCCAACCAGCTCAAACTTGGTGTGTGTGTCAGATGTGTTTGGTTAAAGACCTCATCATCCCCAGACAGTGTGATCTAAGGATTGTGGTAGTTGCAGTGGAACCCCTCTGGAGGACTGGGGAAGGCTGCTGAAGCATATTTGGTACCCACATGAATTTTCAGACTAGATGCAGCATGCAATTTCCAATGACTTCTAAACATGATACATGTGGTTCTCTGTCTTATGCAGATTAGGGTAAGAAATATTATTGATGCTGATGGTGGTGATGTTTCTGTTTTCTCTGCATCTTTGACAGTATTTGGAATATGCTTCACCTTAATTTCCCTTTAGGTAGTGCCCAACACAAATGATCAATAACCATATGGAATACAGATCCAAAGGAACTCCACTGTGGGTATTTTATGATATAAATCAAGGGTAGGAAGCTGACTGCCCTCCAGGTATTTTGGATAGCACCCCCATCAGCCCCAGCTGCCATGACCAATGGTCAGGGATTATGTGCATTGTACTCCAAAACATCTGAGGGAATTGTCTGCCCTGATATAAAACCTTGTGCAGCTTTGAGTATATCAATTATTTATACAAGGAATCCAAATAGTTATGTATTACACAAGAGTTGTTTGAGTTATCACCTTTTAACATGAGTGGATATTTCTGTCTTACAGCTTTGTTGCAATGGTTGATTTCAACAAAAAAGTCCACCGCATGGTCTTCTGGAGTAGGTATAAAGGACACTTGAGTTTTCCTGTAGTACAAATTTGACTCTGAATCCAGCTGAGGGTCCTCTGTCACTACTGTAGCATAAGTGAGTTCTTTAAAGTTTTTTCTCCAACAAATATCACAGTTAGCCGGGTAGAAATCCGTTAGCAAACAAGACAGTGTGATGGATTTTCCACACAGTGGCACAACGGGATCACAATGTATTTGGGAGACTTTTGGAACAGTTACTGTAATTAAAGCATGGCAAGAGTAAGTAAAATTGTTAGCAGCCAGAACAAGCTCAGACTTCTTTCTGTTTACATATTAAAGCTATAATTGGCTATGAAGTGCCAAAATCACAATCCAGATGGCAATGAAATGCTAAAATGCATCTATATTGTGGTTTTGGAGAGGAAAGGAAATTAGACAAACACATTCATAGATCACTTTGCTGTGAATTAGTATTTGCTGTCTCTTATTGTGTGTTTGGCTATCCTAATATTCAGCAAATAGCACTAAGCAAAAGCAAGCTTGTACTAATGACAGCAAGATTCTGCATCCTGCATAAATTATGGCTAAATTACGCCTGCAAAGCCAGTTTGCATATATTGGCTCATTTTGTCTATCCAACTTCTCCTAGTTGTGCATCTGGCTAGAATTAAACAGTGCTGCTTGAAGCCCTGCCTGCTGACTGCTGGAAAGCCTACTCAACTCACCACCCTCCCCTCCACCCTCTGAGTTTCTGCACAGCTAAGGATGGTGCACATTATGCTCAGTGCCAATTACTTTGCTTAAGCACACGGCCATGATCAAAGTGGGGGAAAGCAGCAACTATGCCTAATCCTGAGCTCCTTTGGCTCATCCACAGGCTGCGGGCAAGATTAGTGACCCTGCAATAAACCTCCAAGGCCCACAGAGCATGCTTGGCTCTCATCGGTGTCCCCCAGTCCACAGGACCAAGAGAATCCAGCATGGGTGAGCTTTCAAACCAGAGGGCTACCATTGTGCAGCTGCTTTGTGTAGCTGTGGGGACAGTGGAAGAGCACATGCCTTGCATGCAGAAAGTCCAAGCTTTGGTCCCAGGTGGACTGAAATCCTACTTGCCTGAAGCCTTGAAGATGCACTAGTTAGTGGTGATATTCCTGGATTCAACCAATTCTTGGTTCATCTCAGTGAATGGCAGCTTCCTGTATTCCCATGATGGAAACCTCTAATCTATCTTTTTCCTGTGACATGATCTACATTCCTAGTTTATTTACTACTCAACAATCCCTCTTTACATGTTCTGTCCTGCATGCAGAAAGACTAGAACTAGGGAAAGGGCTATGCAGGCTGCTTCATTTTAACTCCTCCAGGTACACTGTCCCTATCTCCAACTTTGCCAGGTTGAGCAACAGGATCTGCAGAGGAGTTCTAGCTTGTGTTCAAGGAAAGGTTGGGGATGTGAGCAGAGAGGGCTGGTGTGCAGAGAGCACCTATTCTAGTCCTCAGGCACACTGGGAAATTATGTGACCTGAGCTGCAGAAGTTGGCAGAAGCAGGTCATGTTTTCCTGGCAGATCAGCAAAGATCAAGTTGTAAATTTTAACAACAAAAGACTATACCACCTCACCATGCAAAAATAAAAGGTTGCTAAACTTAAGAACATGAGAAGGGGGGAAAGCAGGAACATATTTTTGTGAGAAAGGCCTGTGAACAATTCTGATACTAAAAACTGATTTCATCCTAAGCAAGAGCTCAGAAGCATCTTGTTCGTCATTCTAAGCATGCACACATTTCCTACCCCAAAGTGCTTTTTTGCTCCAGATTCTGGTCGATGCACCTTAGGAATCTATTATGAAAAATAAAGATTTCAGAAGTCTAAAGTTTGCCCAGCTGTACACTTCAGTGCTGAAGTTACATGTCCTAGGAAGCCATTAGCTAGACAAATTCTTGGTGCTGAGATTTTACCTTAACTTTCTACTTTGACTGCTAAGAAAGCAACTCTGGGCACATCTGGACAGGCAGAAAGGAAAAGCCAATATATTTGGGAACTAGAAGGGGTTGAAGGTGAAACTGCCCCTTTCTCAACACCTCAAGAACAATGGATGCATGTGGAGCAGGGGGCAGAACCCATGAAAATCTGCATTTGTCAAGTTCTGCCACTGTAGACCGCAAGCAAAAAGAAACCATTACCTTACTATTTATTTAATTTCTACACCACCCAACAGCTGAAGCTCTCCAGGCGGCTCACAAAAAACAAACAAAAAAGATACATTGCATAAGAAACATATTTACTAGCATTTTTCAAAACAAAAAATTGTGCCTGCTTATTCTGTGTTAGGCATCATAACAGAATACACATCATTATTGTATTAGAATGAAAATTACATTTTCTCTGTGCAGCTTACCTGGGGTTTTCATCTCCCAAGAAGATATTATGTACTCTTGTGAGCCTTCAAGTTTAGTCCTACAGGTGAATCTCTTTCCTATATCTGCCACTTCAGGACGATATGTTATAGAGCTTGTGCAGAAGAAAAGCCCACTTAGATCTTCTGTGGGCTTACTTACAGTTATATTGCCTGAAAATAGCTCTTCTTCTTTGTACCAACGAACTTGGATTGTTCTTGGGAAAAAAAGGGAAATTCTGCAGCTAAGAATAACAGACTCATCTGTTCTTGGCACATCTGTGGAGCACTGGATTTGATCCAGTACTGGTAGTGCTATGAAGACAAAGAACAAGGCTTTAGTATTGAAAAGGAAGCAGTGCACATGGTAGAGCGGGAGAGTGGATGAAGTGTTGTACCTAGTCTGCTGAGGCTGGAATTAAAATCTGGGGCAGCCATTGAACAACCTGACTCTTCACTGAATCCACTTCACTTTTATGCTAAGCAAGAGCCTGCTTTTTAATTTTATTTATTCATTTAGTTAATTCTATAGCATCCACTTGCTGAAGATCTTGGATAGTGAATAAGTTAATACAGGTTTATTTATGATAGTTGTTGTCAATATTACAGTATAAAATAAAACAGGTAATTTTCGTTGAGAGAAGTATTCCATCAGGTATTGTAGGGCTTCATAGGTTAAAGCCAGCACCTTGAATCAGGAAGCGTATGGATAGCCAAGGCAAGTCGGCCAGAATTGGTGTTATATGTTTAGAACTTCTAGTCCCAGTTATTAGACTGGCTGCCACATTTTGCACAAGCTGTAGCTTCTGAACTGTTTTCAAGGGCAGCGCCAAGTAGAATCTAACAGTAATCTAGATCAGAGATTACCAGAACATGGACTGCCAAAGCCAGAATATCCCTGTCCAGATAGAAGTGTAGCTGGTCCACCAACTGAAGCTGGTGGAAGGTACTCTGATCTTAAGTGACAAAGATGGATCAATGATGGTTCCCAAGCTATGAACCTGCTCTTTTTAGGGAAGGACAACCCCATCTGGAACAGGCTGAGCACCATCCGTCCAGTAAGAGGCGTCACCTCCCAACAAGATCTCGGTCTTTTCTGGATTGAGCTCCAGTTTGTGAGGCCCCATCCAGTCCACTGTCTCAGCCAAGCAGCTATTTAACACATCCACAGCTTTACCGGCTAAATATGAAAAGGAGAAATAGAGCCGCATGTCATCAGCATACTGATGACAACACACTTCAAAACTCTGAATGGAGAGGTTCAGCAGTGGTAGGTAATGTTATTGGGCACATAGGCTGACTGGGAATTTGAGAAACAGCTTCATGCATCACCACAAAATGGCCACCACAGGAAAAATGGCTAGTCACAAAGGTCTAGTACCTGCCCAAAAGACTCCATACAAGTTAAAGGTAGAGTCTGAATTCCTTGTGAATTCAAACTAAGAGTGTGAATTTTGGGCCTCTGAGATAAATTCCAATTGCAGAAGCATCTTAGGGACAATATTTCAGAGGTGGGTGGGACCTACAGGAAAGGGGACACAGCTGAAGTCAAAGAGGTCATCCAAAGAGACAAGAGTTATTGAATAATTTCTTTTTTTGAAAAAAGCCTATCCGTTCTAACAAAATATTATACATCTTTTATTTCCATTCCACCAATCTATCCCTTCTATTGAGCTACTTAACATGCAGAGAATTCAGCAGCTGAGCTCTATGCATGTTTACTCAGAAGCCAGAATAAAGGTATTCCTCCACACACCCCCCCACTACACAGTGGCTGCATGTTTACTCACAAGTAGGGCAGAGCAAGTGATCTCCCTCACTTACAAATGTGCAGCAGCTGCATGTTTCCTCACAAGAAAGGCATTCCCCACCAGCGACATTTGAAAGTTCCATGATTACCTTTTTTACCTTCAAAATTACTTTGGCCAGTAACTTAACTGGATCCTGCCAATGAGATTAAGCTCCAGGTCAAAAGGAAACTTTAATGATTCAAGACCATCTTTCCTACTTACCTATGACTTTAAATGATTTTTCAGTAGGCGAACTGTGCTGAGAGGATTGGTGTGTAACTTGAACAGAAAGCTCAAAGCTGTGCAGCTTCACTGCATCTGGAACTATGAAGATTTTGCATGAAACGTCAAAAGTCCTTTTTTTCTTTTTTTCCAGATTTGGTTCAAATCTAAACATACTGTTTTGGGGCTCAATGAGAGGAATGTTTTCATTGCCTAGCTCAGAATCACCTACTGAGTTAGTGTTCCAAGAGAAGATTTTCTTTTTTGTGTCCCCAGTGCTTAAGAAAAAAGTGATGATCAATGGCTTTGGACGGAAGTCAGAAAACGAGCATTGTAACTGTGTTTCTTTTAAATGGTTCAAAACTGTATTTCCAGTAATTAAGATTTTTGGTGGACCTGTAAGAAAAAATGGAAAACGGCATTCTTCTTGTCAGCAGTTGTACAGTATCATTTGTATAAATATTGCCACAGCAACTCTTGTCTAACAGAAACAGTCATTTCACATTTTACAAAAACTTATCTCATTTCTAAGCTATCATTTCATATGCTATAGTGGCTATTAGCAAACGGTGCAATGTGTTGTACAAAATATAAAGTAGCACAGTTAAATTCCAGAAAGTTTGCAGCACAGGTTGGTGCATCACCACAAAATGGTTGCCACAGGAAGCATGGCTAGTCACCAAGGACAAGTTCCTGCCCAATAGACTCCATACAAGGGATAGGTGGAGTCTGAAGGGGACAGGCCTTTCTAAAGAACTGAAACTGGGGAGTGACTGGGGAGACATGGTTTGTGTCAAGGACAGAAGAGATGAAGTGGAGGGCAGGGGAGATAGTTGCTTAGGAGAAGCCTCCTTAGGATGGGAAGGATGAGGAAGTCTGTTTCGCATTTAGAGAACAATACGATAGAAGGCTGGAGGCAAAAGCCAGTATTTTGGAAAGATATTTGCAGCAGAGGAGCTTGCATAAAACACCACACTAATACAGAAATAATTCAAGTTAACCCTCAGTTTGCTGGCACTGAATATAAAGTTCCTTACAACAGCCTTTCCCAACCTGATGTTCTCCAGATGTTTGGGACCAAAGCTCCAAGCATTCTTGTCAAGCCATGCTCTCTGGAGAGCTGAAGTCCAAAACATCTGAAGGGAACAAAATTAATTGCTAGTTATGTGCAAATGAAGGACTAGGGGGTCTTTGTATGACCTTCATGTATCTAATGAATGTACGAGGGGCTGGTGGGAAGGAAATGCACCATTTAGCCATGTACTCTCATTCCAGTGCACATGCTGGCCATGCTGCCTGCTGGTCACACAAACTTTGTTACTGACTCAGTCTATCCACTCAGAAATGCTAACCAATGAAGATCAGGTATGTACAGGTATATGTCATAGAATCATAAAATACTAGAGTTGAAAAGGCCAGAAGGCCGTTGAGTCCACCTCCTGCTCAGTGTGGCTATCCAGCTGCATCTTAAATGCCTCTACTGTTGGGAAGCCCACAATCCCCTTCCCAAGTAATTAGTTTCATTGTCATACTGTCCTAACAGTCAAGAAATTCTTCCTTGTGTTCAGCCAGAATCTGGCTTTCTTTAACTTGACCCCATAATTCAGTGTCCTGTACTCTGGGATGATTGAGAAGAGATCCTGGCCTTCCTCTGTTTGACAACTGTTCAGGTACTTGATGAGTGTTATCATATCTCCCCTCAGTCTTCTCTTCTCAAGACTAAACATGCCCATTTTTTTCAATCTCTCCTCATAGGGCTTCGTTTCCAGTCCCTGGATCATCCTTGTTGCCCTTTTCTGAACTCTTTCCATCTTGTCTACATCTTTCTTAAAACTGTGGTGCCCAGAATTGGGACACAGCACTCCAGGTGAGGCCTAAGCAGTGCTGAGTAAAGGGGGATGAGTACCTTACATGATTTGGAAGTGATACTTCTGTTAATACAGCCCCTTTTACAGTCACATCTCATTCTTTACTCATATTCAGCTTGTGATCTATAACAATTCCAAGATTCTTCTCACTTGCAGTATTGTTGAGCCAAGCACTTCCCATCTTGCAATGATGCATTTGGTTTCTTCTTCCTAGGTCCAGAACTTGGCATTTGTCCCTGTTGAATTTTATTCTTCTGTTTTCAGCCCAGAACTCCAACCTATAAGATCACCTTGAATCTTCTATCTTCAACACAATTTGTGTCATCTGCAAATCTGATAATGTTCCCTGCACTTCCTCATCCAAGTCATTAATGAAAATGTTGAAGAGCACCGGGTTCACTTTTTACCTCTTCCCAGTTTGAGAAAGTGCTATTGATGAGTCCAATTCTGTAGCCAACTGTGGATCCACCTGATTGTTGTTCCATCTAGACCACTTTTATATAGTTCGCTAATCAGGATATCAAGGGGCATTTTGTCAATTTTTTTGCTGAAGTCAAGATATACTCTGTCCATAGCATTCACACAGTCCATTAGGTAGGTTATCCAATCAAAGACTGACATCAAATTAGTCTGGCAGTTCTTGAAAAATCCACGTTGGCTTCTAGTCATCACTGCATTGTTTTCAAGGTGTTTGCAGACTGACTGCTTTATAACCTACTCCAGAATTTTCCCAGGGATTGCTGTCAGACTGTCTGGTCTGTAGTTCCCACGTTCTTCTTTTTTCCTTTCTTGAAGATAGGGACATTTGCCCTTCTCCAGTCATTTGGCACTTCCCGTGTCCTCCATGGTTTCACAATTTTCTGCCATCTTCGTTATTACTCTAGGATGGATTTTGTTGAGCCCTGGAGATTTGAACTCATTTAACCCAGTTAGATGATCCTTGACCATTTGCCTATCAATCTTGAACTGTCTTCCTGCTCCATCAGCTTATATTTCCCCTTCTTCAGGAAGGTCATAGATCATTTTTTGGGAGAAGACTGAGCAGAAGTAGGAATAGAACACTTTTGCCTTTTATCTTTTTATATGTTGTTTTATATATATATATATATATATATATATATATATATATATATATATTTTATATGTTGTCTTTTTTGTCATACACACTGAGCAGTTGAACCCTCATTTCTTTCCTTTGTCTTTTCCTTTGGACATAACTTTTTTGCAACTTTTAGCATCCCTCACTGGCCTAAGTTCATTCCTAGCTTTAACCTTCCCGATGCCTTCCCAGGTGCACTGGAATATTGACTGGGACTGATTACATGGAACATGCAACTTCCTTGTTACAACAGCTTTGCTAGCTGCCAGTCTGTTTCCAATGTAGTTTATGACTTATAGACTCCTACCCAACTTGGAAACAGACTATAGGACCACGCTTTCTTTCCCATAGGTAGCTTTAAAGAACTCCTCTTTGAATGACCACCATGAGAGACACATTGGTCAAGAACAATAAGTTCTTGGTAGCTGCTCTGGATTTCTCTCCCAAGGGAGGCCAAGTTAGCTACATCACTGTCATCCTTCTGCTTACAGAATATGTTTTTGTTTAGACATGTTTTTCCTTTTTGAGCAGGTTTGTTTGCACCAGTAAGTTTCACTGGTGAGTGCTATTTATTGCTTTTTCCCCTATGGATGCATTTTAAATTGATTTGTTATTATGTTTAATCATAATTTTGTGTTGCTGCTGCTGCTAACCACCTCAAGCTCTATTAGTAATGGAAAGGCACAATGCAAATGTAATGAATAAGTAAATGTTTAAAATTACTTACGTGTCTTAAAATATTCCTTGTAAACATAGCATGGTATTACAATAATTATGATTGCTATACCTACACCAATCAGCCAGGTTAAATTCTTTTCAGGCTCTGTAAAGACAGAAAAACTCTGGTCTCACACATTACACAATGTTCACACTTTACATTCATACATCAGAAAATTGCAAAATGTTATTGGCTTTTTGTTGAAAACTTTTGGTAGCAAACTATATTTCATATATGACTGTATATACCATAAGAATGTAGCATGAACATGGGCAATTTTATGATATTATAGAAAGAGGAACATAATATTGTAGGAAGAACCAACAGTACTACATAGCATCATATAACAGATGAATGCATGCTTTATGTTTTGCTGGCATGTTGCTAGAAAAGTCTATCATAAGATACATCTAGAATGAAGGGGACTGGGAACACCAATTAATCAGTGACCACCAGCTGAGATGACCACTACTTACAGTGATCAAAATGACAGCAATGTCAACGATGGAGAAATTTTGCACGATTTTGCAAGATTACAAGATTTTGCATCCCTTGGCTCAATCTTCAATTCAAATGAAGACTGCAGCTACGAAATTAGAAGACTGAGACTTGGAAGGGCAACTGTGAAGGAATTATAAAAAGTCATCAAATAGTTATAGTCAGTTGTCAATCAAATGGGATGGACTGCACTTTTTCACTTCCTTGAGCCCCTAGTGAGTCATTAAATGGAGTGGGGAATAAAGAACACTGAGAACATGTTCATGCTTAAAACTAGAGGACCTCACTGAGCTACAAAGATCCATTCATATCTCTACTTACTACCTGACAGCTCACTGTTTGACAGCTGTTAAGTGAAAGCAAAGCAACATTTTTCAAGTCTGGCTTTGTGAATGTATGTGATGTTGCCTGCTTTAGCAACAGAACCTTATCAGAACATTAGCTGGGCAAGACTTCACATATTAAGTCGTTAAAGTTGCATAGTTGCACATTTCTGAATTATAAGCAATCTTTTAAAAATACAAACACATTTGTGCAGATTTAAAGATTCCCCCTTCAAAAAGTACAAATTATTGCCATTAAAACATCCAGAATGCAAGTACTGGTTATGCTCTCTACAGATCCTGTAGACAACTCCAGAAAAAGGAAAATGAAATGAAATCTGGAAAGCCAAACTAAGATGACCCACTAAAGGATTCCCATTAAGGCCACATAACAAGTGTGGAGCATCTCAGCAGCAAAGAACCTCTATCTACACATATGTGTAAGTTACATAGAGACAAATGCCTCTGTAAGCATGATATGAAACCTTGAAACTTATAATGACTCAGAACATTATGATATATAGAGATAGAGAAAAAAACAAAGATTACCTGTCACCTTCAACGTGACATTCAAGGATGAATGTCTGGGAAAAGAACTGTGTTTCACAATACAAATATAGACACTTCCATCATCTTGTAAAGTTGGCTGCAGCCTCAGGTTACTGGTGGCATTGAAAGTGCCGTCTCTATTTTCCACAGGGGCCACTCTGTGAATATCTTCTGGAGATATCATTTTATCTGAAGTATGCTTGGAATTCTTTTCCCATTTAATGTCAATCACTTCAGGGTAGAATTTATTCACTTTACATGACAGTATTTTCTCCTTGCCCCTTTCTACTGTAACTTCCTTGGGAAACAAACTGACAGTAGGTTGAACTGTATGGAAATTAAAAACAAAATATTATTAGGCATCAGTGCGCTGATGATACCCAGCTCTACCTCTCTTTTTCAACCAGGTGAGGCAGTGGCTGTACTGAACTGGTGCCTGGCCGAGGTAATGGGCTGAATGCGGGCCAATAAACTGAAGCTCAATCCAGACAAGACGGAGGTCCTGCTGGTGGGTGGTTCAAACTCCTGGGTAGGTGACTTGGATCTTGTCCTGAATGGGGCTGCACTCCCTCTAAAGGACAGGGTCCGCAGCTTGGGAGTGCTCCTCAACCCGGAGCTGACTTTGGAAGCTCAAGTGTCAGCAGTGGCGAGGAGCACTTTCCTTCAGCTTTGGCTAATCCATCAGCTGCATCCCTACCTGGAGGACGACTGCCTAGCGACGGTGATGCATGCATTGGTTACTTCCCGGTTGGATTTCTGTAACACGCTTTATGTGGGGCTGCCCTTGAAGACAGTCTGGATACTTCAGATGGTGCAAAACAGAGCAGCCAGGTTGCTGATGGGGACTGGGTGCTATTCTCATATAACCCCAGTGCTCTATCAGCTCCATTGGCTTCCCATCGAAGTCTGGGCTCAATTCAAGGTGTTGGTAATCACTTATAAAGCCCTTAACGGCTTGGGACCTGGATACCTAAAGGAACACCTGTGGCCATATTTGCCCTCCCGCCCCTTGAGATTGGCAGCAGAGGCTCTCCTCCGGGAGCCTTCCATGAGAGATACCAAGAAGCAAAGTACCTGGAGGAGGGCTTTCTCTGTGGTGGCGCCCCATCTGTGGAATGCGCTCCCCAGAGAGGTCCACCTGGCGCCGCCATTATTTGTTTTTCAGTGCCAGACCAAGACCTTTTTATTCAAACAGTATTTTAATAATGTTTAATATTTATAGATTGTAATTGTGCAGCCAGTGTGTTTCCGGGTTTTAATTGTAATTATTATTATGTTGTATTTATTTATTTCTGTAAGCTGTCCCGACGCTATGTAGCAAGGGGACGGCATATAAAAAACTTTAAATAAATAAATAAGCAAGACTTTTTTCTGTTTGTTCTTAAGATATATCCTGTTTTTCAGCTAAAAATTGCACTCAAAAACAACAATGGGATGAACAATCAAATGCAGATACCAGTTAAAATGAAAAACGGGTTCTCAGAGGGTCACAGTCTAAAAAAAGAGGAACTTTGCAAAAGGGTTGCTGAAAGGCCAATTAGTAAAATGAATGGCTAGACATAGAATAAATACAAAATGAAGTCAATATCAGTGGGAAAGGGAGATGAACTGCTGAGAAATGTGGTCAAAATATCCAAAGGCTAATGCTCATGAACAATATAAGTTACAACCTGAGAAGCAGAATCTGGAAAGGAGAAATTCTGTTGCGAGGCACGGATAAGGAAGAGGTGTTAAAAATAATGTAGAACAAGCAACATTAGTGGACAAGTGTCTATGGAAAGCCCACACAGTCTGATGGATCTGAACGGTTCTTGAGGTCTCTTCAGGATTTTCCTGTGATCTAATGATGCACTTGGCATTTAGTCAAGCCCTCAGGCAATTCTGGAATAGCAAGCTTGTTCTCTACACAGTTGTATAGCAAAAGCACTTACCAACTATTTCTAAAGTGGTGATATCTTCAGCTCTAACTCCTGTAACAGCCACAGAGCAGGTGTAGGTTCCCCTTTCACTAAACTGTATTTGTGGAAGAAAGAGTTCTGCATTGCCTTTTCTCAGCATGTTTCCATCCAGACGTGATCCATTTCTAAATGAAGAATGCTCTCCAGCAACAACTGAGTATACTTTCATTTTCTGATTTCCTCCATAAGGCACCAAATACCACATGACCTCTGTTTCATTAAGATTCAGTTCAGGTGTCAGGTACCCAGAGATACGGCATGGGAGCACCACATCTGCATGCAAGAATTCTGTCTTATGACTTTTCATCTTCACTTCCAGGGTTTCTTAATTAATGAGGAATTAATATGATCAGAAAACAGGCTTTCACAAATCAGAGAAGGCAATGCAATTTGTACCTCCCACCCCACCAAGTACACTCTCCAGTTCTTTGGGAACTATGCTGGAAATCAGCAGTGAGTCAACAAGGTCAGGTGAGAGGCAGCAAGGGGCCTCCAGCATTAAGCAACCACTGAATCTTGCCTTTTTTGGAGCCAGAGTCAAGATCATGGGTCCTCAAACTAAGGCCCGTGGGCCGGATCCAGCCCGCCATGCCCATTTAACCTCCCTGCCCAGAGGTTTTGCACTTGCTGTGGCTTGCTCATGAGGAGGTAATTTTGGACTCGCTTGGAGAAAACGATCTCCTCACGAGCAAGCTGGAGACGCGCCCCGCGCACCTGGTGGTGGCTTGCTCTCAAGGAGGTCATTTTGGACTTGCTCAGAGAAAACAATCTTCTCCCAAGCAAGCCAGCACCTCGCCCTGTGCACCTGTCCCCACCTCACATGTGACCCGCCCCCTCACCAGCCCGCGTCCCCCCCGCCACTGCCTTGGCGGCCCACGCGCACCTCTGGCACCTGTCAACTGGCCCCCTGATGAAAAAGTTTGAGGACCCCTGGTCAAGACTGACCACAACTTGCCTGGTTCCATAGGACAAGACAAAGTGCAGCTTTCAAAAATTGTTGTTGTTATTTATTTCAGTTACATATGGTCCAATAGCTGAAGCAAAAGATTCCAAGCTTCTCCTTGTGGTAGCACTCAATGAGAAGAAGGACCCATTGAGACTAGACCATTCTCATATGACAGTGCTTTGGCCTTACATCCAAGCAGCTCATTATTTCACTTGATCGACTCAGCTAGACAAACAGTGACGGTTCCTGTTTCTGAGGGCCCTTGCACAAGACCTCTTCAGTGGCCCCTCTTCTTCAGTGAGGCTACCTTCTCACCACCATTCCCACTAACGTCTCTTGCTCCTCATCCTCTTCCTTTTCATTTCTATATTTGCTTGCTTGATAGACAGTCAGCCAATGAGCAAGCAGGCAGTAGCACTGATTGCTCCACCTTCCCACCACCATCCTCTCTGTCAGGGCCAGAACAAGAGGCAGGGAATGTCCAGGTTGTAATGGTGAGCAGCAATTCCAGGGAGCACTAGTCCATGGCTGCCTCCTGGAGTGTGGCCTTTGCCAGGTGTCCAAATATTTCTGTGCTTGATGCCACCCCTGGAACCAGACTACATGATATTTAGACTGCAATCCCCTATGCACTTACCTGGTGTAAGTCTCACTAAATTCTTAATTCTGAGTAAACAAGCACAAGATTGCACTGCTAGCATGAAACCAAATATTACCTTGATACATGCTAGGCAGCTGCTTAACTTATTATTAATTACAGCAGCACACAGGGATCGAAGGCTACATTCCTATATGCCAGGGGTATGCAAATTGGTGTCCTCCATATTTCTGGATTAAAACGCCCATCCGCCTCCACCAACCTATTGGTCAGGGATTAGGGGAATGAGCTTTCCCAGGCTCAGAGTTAAATTAATCATGCCATTCCATTTTACTGTTCCTGTATTGTTCTGTATATTGCATATTTTAAAGATGCATTTGAAATGTGATATTTCTTAACCCTGACTGCCCTTTAGAAGGCCACATACTGAAGATGAAACTCAAATACTTTGGCCACCTAATGAGAAAGAAGGACTGCCTGGAGAAGAGCCTAATGCTGGGAACAATAGATGGCAAAGAGGAAGGGAATGGCAGAGGATGAGGTGGCTAGATGGAGTCACTGAAGCAGCGGGCGTGAGCTTAAGTGGACTCCAGGGGATGGTGGAGGACAGGAAGGCCTGGAGGAATGTTGTCCATGGGGTCGCGATGGGTCGGACACGACTTCCCGACTAACAACACTTTTAATATTAACAGGTAAACTGCTTAAGGATTGTATTATACTTAGTGGTATAACAATGTTATAGTGGTATGAGAGCCAGTGTGGCGTAGTGGTTAAGAGCATGGGACTGGGACTCAGATGATCTGGATTCTAGTCCCCGCTCAGCCATGGAACCAACTGGGTGACTTTGGGCCAGTCACAGACTCAAAGCCCAACCTCCCTCACAGGGTTGTTGTTGTGGGGAGAAGATGGAGGAGGCGATGTAAGCTGCCTTGAGCCCTTTGTAGGAAAAAGGCAGGATATAAATCGAAATAATGAATAAATAAATAAATAAATAAATAAAAACAATACTAAAAGAATTCAATGTATACAAATACATGGAAGTAAATTCCCAAGCACTGGTAACATGTGCAGGATTGAAATGTAACATTATTTTGAAAATTTGATGTGAAATGTTTTGTTTCTTGATTTCATGTGTATTTTTAAATTCATTTCATTACGGTGGAGAAATGTGCAGAATATGCCATCTTACCGAAAGACACAAAGGAAAGGAAGGATCTTTGCCTTTTCGTCTGACAGCTGTTGCCCAGATGTGAGTTGCCCAGATGTGAGGGTAAATTTAAGAAGCATGGTCTTCTCCGCCCCGCCCCCTACACTTAGGGAATCAGCATCGCCGTCGGGGGGGGGGGGGCAGCAAAAGCGCCACTGCATTGGGAAGCCCTCCCAGTAGAGGGCGAAAGGGTTAAAGGAGAAAGCGAGCAACGACGCGACAGGAAAGGAGGGGGCTCCAATTTTAACCGGCCGGAAACGACATGCATTCCCTGTCCTACGTTCAAAAGGCCGCTTTCAGTCCGGGGCTCGTTACACTCATTGTGCCAACATCGTTTGCCGACCTCCCGAGAGCGGCAGGCGGCCTGGGGCTGCCCCTCCCAACTCGTCCGCCAAAAGCCCGACCTTAGGAGAACCTGCGCGCCGGTTTCCCCAGGCCGATCTGCTTCGCCCTTTCTGCCTTCGCCGAAGCGGAACCAGCTCCTCTCCTAGTTTTATTTATTTATTAAAACATTTTTATGCCGCCCCATTCGCCGAAGCCTCGGGGCGGCTTAGTTTCCTGGTCCACCGCGAGGGAAGCGGCGGGATTGCTCGGTGCCTTTGGAGCTCGCGCCGCTTCGCCTTCCCCTCCCGCTCCCGCCTTGCCCTCGTTACCTGCCGGGTGGGAGAGCCACAGCGCGAGGCTAAGCAGGAGGCGGCAGCAGCCCCCCAACTTTCCCCCTTGTTTCATGCCTGTTGATGGTGCGGTGCAGCATCGGCTTGCTACCGAAGGGCAGAGCGGCCTCTGGAGTTTCTCATTGGAAGCAGCTTCACTTTCTCTTTCGCTGTGTTACAGGCCGTCGACGGCATGTGGAAGAGGGGAGGAAGTGGGCGTAGGAAGAGAAGGCAGAGCTGATGGGTGTTGATTTACAGTCGTGTCCACCTTGGCCCGAGAAAGCAAGACTCGCTGGTGTTGGGAAAATTTGGGTAAATTCTGTCTGAAAAGCATTACTCCTGTGTGCCTTTGCATTGTGGGATCAAATCCTGTCTTCCTTCTCAAAACCAAGCTGTCACTGTTTAAAATGGCATTCCCCCGCTCCTTTCTCTCACCTTTAGCTGTAGGCTGCAGTAGGCCATTTTAGCCCAAATATCCATTATAAATAGTCATTGTTGGAATTCAGTTTACAATAATCTTTTGATAGCCAGAGGGCTTCATGTGCCCTGATCATGCAGAATGTTTAGAGTCGAGATAAGGGTCTAAGCTTATCATGAATAGTTTCTAGTGGCTTGAATTTGCATGTCTGAGCAGACCTGGAGATGAGTTCAAGTTACTCAACTAAAGTGTCAATACTGATCTCATTGTTACAGTGTGATTGACTGACATTTCTTTATCTGTTCTGTATGTGATGACCTCAGAATCTTATTGTAACCTCTGCATTGTGTCATCAATTGCCCGGTACCTGTGTACCTATAAATGCCCTGTAATGGTATTGAAGCTTTGCAGCAGAGTTCATCTCTGCTAGCCCGGTAATTGCATTATCGTGAGTCAACCGCAGGAACCTGGGATAGACAATAAAGACGCGGAGGTTCATAATGATTGATCTTTCCTACGACCCCGAGTTTTATTTCATCTTCTCAAATTGAGATTCCGGGATTCTGACACTGGAGAAGACAATCATGCGATGAAACGTCGAAGACAGAGAAAGACCAGCTACGAGGTGGATTGGCGAGTTTCAGAGAGCTGGCCATTCATTCAGAGGGTTCCCGTAAGTCGGGGATGACATGACGGTACATAGCAACCACAGCCCCTTTCCTGGCCCACAATCATACTGGCAAAACTCAGTCGGGATAAAAACTAAACAAAACAACTTGATTGAGAAACTCCTGCATTTCTCCTGTATGAAATTAAGTAGTAGCAAAAGTTTATAACATTAAATAGTCTGAGGAGGATCCCGCTTTTAACTAGAACAACTCTTTACATCAAAATCTCCCTTTAAAAAAAAAAACAAAATTTGAGTGTTTTGAAATCTTTTACCATCCTTTCCTAAAATGCTGTTCTCTTCTCTTAAAAAGCCTGCATGCTTTCTTTTTGTCAGCAGGAATGAACACAAGGGGAACACGAGATTGCTAGCAATAGGATCCTAAACAGCCTTCTTCCAGGATGTGCTCCGTATCTTCACGTTTCTCCCCAAGCCCTGGTTCTTTGAGCCCTACAAACAGCTACTTGCTTTTTATATACTACCCCATGAAGTATTCCAAGGCCTCTCCAGGCCTGCCAGTCTACCTTCTAAAAATGGAGACCTATCTTGAGGTAAGAGAAGCAGGAAGATGAGAGGCAAAAATTGCTTCCTTAGCTATCACTGCTTTCTTGGCAGTAGCCTGGCAAAAGTACTGGATATTTATAAGCCTTCAAATTCAGGGTTTCCATCTAATGGAGTGCAGCCCCTTCTATATCCTATACAAAGTGGCACTACAGATTTTCAGGGAACAGATTGTTCAGTACATTCCACACATATTATTATGTTCTATTGTATTTCAATGTATTGTATTGTGTTGTAAGCCGCCCCGAGGCTTCGGCAAGGGGCGGCATAGAAATGTTATCATCATCATCATCATCATCATCATCATCATTTTAAATATGCATTATGATACAAAGAGGAGTTGTGCGTATAGGGGGAATTACAAACGTAGTAGGGTTACTTTTTCTCATTCACAGAAGAAAAACACAAACAATCGCCAAAACAACTGAGTCAATCAACTTAATCAAATTAAAACTGTTCATAATATGGGTAAAATAAAATTATTGAGTATATTGCATTGGAAAGTATATAGCTATGTACAACTTTGCCATATCTTTCATCATTTTCTGATATTCCTGAATATTATTCCTTATGTTGAAAAGTTTTGACATGGGGTTGGTGGGGAAGAGGAAACATAATTAACCTTAACCCAAAATAAAATAAGACCAAATGAGAAATTTTATGATACTTAGCCTACAAACCCATATGTATTTGTGTGGAAGTGAATTGCATTAGTGTAACTTCAAGCACAGTGCATTTAAAAATGAGGGCCGTGTCAATGGAAATTGTGCCAATAAATGATTGAACTATTTCTTAAATTAACCAATCTATCTGAATTTATTTGTATCAGATTGTAAGCTTTTTTCTTTTTGCAAGAATATTTGTGTGAATTTTTCAAATGTATTCATTTTTACCAATTGAATGCCGCTTTTTCAAAGGCATGATTTTTCCTGCACATTTTCCAAATGTACATAGTTTTTGCACTGCTAATCGGATTGCCAACTCAGAAAAGTAAAAAAAAAAAATTACATGGGTTGCATTCAGATCTGTGTTTGGCTTACAGGAGTTGCAAACTGGGTAAATTCCAGTCAAAAACAAATGAATACGTTACTCATACAACATAGTTTTAATGTTAGATTGGTGGTCTTATGGCCCCTAGACATTGTCTGGAGGGCCATAGGATATTTTGGATTCCCAGATCTGAGGTCACAGAACAAAATATGACCTTTGAACTGGGAGTCCATGCTCTGTCCGCTTCCCCAACTAGTAGCCCATGTGGAAATATTAGAAAAAGGCCAGTCATTCTATGATGATGCTTGCTGGCTGTAACTTGCAAGAAGGCCATACACAGACCGTTTCTGTGACCCAGTGACCATGGCCTTGGCCAGACTATGGGTCCAAAGGCCTCTGGGTAGCCTTAGCAATAGTTACAAGGTTGCTGAAAGCAGCTCCTGATTTAGGCCCTTTGTATTTAAAATCTGTAGATAATTAATCAGTGAAAGTTTTACATGTCTAAGGCTGCAGATCAGTTAGAAGCTAAATTAAGACACCTAAACACTTGGAAAGTAACACTGCATAACTGCAAGTGTTAAGAGGAAGCAGTTATTAGAAAACCTTCACTAACTTCTCTAACGAGGTTAGGGAGACATCTTGCAAGACCCCAAATGTCACTAGAAACAATTCTTAGAAAATGTCAGCCAAATACCTAGCCACAAGACCCCACTAAAGACTTTCTAAAGGTGCCATGACATGGAAGGCCAGGATTGGCCAATCTAGAACTGGAGAGCACCTGGACATGCACCGTCTGAACTGTTTGCCAATCTGTAATCTATAAAGACCATGCCCAAATCTTTGCTTTTTGTCAGCTTGGCTTTTGGGCATGACCCACCCTGCTGACCTGCTTTGCATGCAAAATAAATGGTGCAAGTCTCTACTGGGTGTTGCTTCCCTTTTTCCTGATAATTGAGACTCTCTGGGGAAAAGCCCAAGAGTGTTTTCCTGACCTCAAGAACTGCAATACATTTTAGCAGGCAAAGGGTAAGTTCTGGTGGCAGGAAAGGAAGACTCTGGAGGCCACAATACAACTTAGCCTGTATTTTCTGTGGCCTCCTTCATTTGTTCTCCACTCTATATTGGATCATCAGCCTCCCAGTTTGGAGGCTGCCATTTTTCTTAATTGGATTGTGCCCTTAATTTACTAAATAAACCTGAGGAGTGCCATTTTAAGTAGTCATGCTTAAGTCTGTTTAATTTATATTATGGCTAATAGATAGAATTCCAGGTTAGAGATGATGGCCTTTAGTATAACTATGCTTTCATGAAAATGGGAGTGGATTTCTTCTAGTAATTTCAGGTGGGATTGTGTCATGTCAGCTACCTATAGGTGGATTGCTGCCCATTAAAACCAATAGGTCAGCATGTATTATTTGATTTAAAGTAGAGAAGTTTGCTTGAAATTAGTGATGTTCAGATTATGGGCTGTATCAAAGTTGCCCGGCCACAAACAGAATGCTCATTCTGTCCTTATATGGAACTGGTATCCAGCTAAAATCCCCACTAGATGAGGATGGGTCTGTGATTTTTACTAATTCTTCCTTCCTTGAATTATTAGCAGTACCTCCCATATTGTTCCGGAGCATCCCCCAGTCTTCCAGGTGTTCAGGCATAGAGGAATGTGAGAAGAGTGAGGGAATAAGAAAAAAATCATTTCACTCACAGGAGCTTCCAGTTTGTGACCTCTAGCTTTGTGCAACTCCAAATTCAACCCAATGTGTATTAAATACAGTGGAAAAAAAATGAAAAAATACTAGCAGATTGTCTTGGCTTGAAATGGTGTTGTGTCATTGATGTTTTCTAATATAGTGATGAAATCCAAGCTGCACAAGGTATTATGGTCCTGCACAAACACTGCTAGGAACTGACTAAGGGTTCATCTAGAATACTATTCTGTTCCAACCACAATCAATCCTCTGTTCTTTGACTACCACAAGTTTTGTTCAGAAATACCTATAAACATGAAATAGCATTTATCTGTCCTGACTAATACAGTGCTACCTCAGCTCATGAATGCCTCAGTTCACAACCAAATCATTTTGCAACAGAAATTTCAGGAAAAAATTGCCTGAGGTCACGAACTCCGCATTGGGTGACAATTGTGATCGAACCTGTCTTCCTTGTGCAATTGTCATCATGCTCGGGGGGGGGGGTGGAATTGGCCACACTCATGTTTGGGTAGGGATCGTGGTCACGCTTGTGCAGGGAAGTCCCAGTTAACCACACAGGAAAAACAATTCAGCTCTCACTTGTTTCCGGTGTACTGTGGGGCACCACTCTCATTCATCCAAATGGACTAGTTATCTTTGATGTTACTCAAGTTCAGTATGAGCATTACTGCCACTTATTAGCCCTCTGAACAGTCAGATAACACCTGGGTCACGTGAGGCAATGGGTCTTTGTCAAATCTCCTTTGTCTCATCATAATGGTACTTAATTCAGTACCCTGAGCATTTCTGAAGCCAACTATTTAAGT